GTACCGGATTTCCAAGCACAAAAGGATGCCTGTGGAGCTCAGCTATTTCTGCCAATTTGGCAGCTGTATGGGGTTGGGACAGAAAAGCTCTGGTCCAGTGTCGGAGGCTTGTGCTATTTGAAGTATTCTCTGTGCTCAGCTCCCACAGACACCTGCAGCACGGAGGGCAGGAGACGCAGGGGCGGCAGAAAGGCACATCCAGGGAGCAGCTAATTATTCATCACCCGCTCACCCCCATTGCGGGACTCCTCAGGGAGTATTTGTTCCACTCACGCAAGGTCAACGAATTCTCAAGACCAGTTGCCATTCATCCCCAGACAGGTCGGAGGTCAGTTCCTGAAGCATTGTTGATCTCAGCAGAGATCAACCATCAGGGTTGATATTCTTAGATTTTGCTCGTTCAGCCAGTCAGTCTGGCTTTCCGAGGAGAATCAGGTCACGGAGCACTTAATGAACCAAGGGAAAGTGGGCCCCGGCCGGCTCCACTAGGGCCTTGGGTTTTTAATGACCATCGCCGGCCTCTTCGCTTACCAGCCCACTGGCATTGTCATGGTGCATCTCCATGATCACTTTGAGAGGCCAGACCTCCCTCGTGAGTGGGGTGACACAGGACCCCACACCCCCGGGGTGGTTCTTAGCTTCCCCAGAAACCATTGCATGAGCTGCGATTCCTCAGATTTTCTTTCCTCTTAATTTCAAAATGATATCCGCGCGCTGGAAAACATCCGTGTTTCAGTGTTGGATGTGGAACCTGGAAGAAGATAACAGTCTCTTACACCACCAGGCGTTTTGTTAAGGTTGCACTGGTGAGCCCTGCTTCGTGCAAGCAGTTAGAAGTAGGCAGTGGAAGGTGTTTGGGTTTTTTTTTTTTCTTTTTCCTTAAGTTGATGCTCCAAACCAGCTTCTGCTAGTTTCCATCACTATGACAACCACCACCAGCATCCAGGGTGAGCAGAGAGCCAAGCCTTCCACATACCTGTAGACCACGCATTAGTCACCTTCTCCTTGCTCAGATAACACAACTCAGGCACAGAAAGGGGACCCGTGGAAGAATACACAGCTAGTCCTTGGCACGAGCTGGATTTTGAACCTGGGGCCAGTGTGGGCTCCAAGCTAGTCTTTGATGGTGTTTCCAACCAAGGCATTGGGTGCGGTGATGAGAAATGCCAGCCAGTGAGAAAGTAAGAAGACAACCAAGAATGGTGAGTGTGTTCTTAACACACTGGGCATCCTTGGAAGAGCTCACCACGCTTGAATTCGTTTACATTCCCTGGAAGCAGTCCTTCACGGGGCTTGTGGGTGGGGCTTCCCTTCCAGGAATGGAACTTTCCAGGTGGAATCAACCCGCCTCCTAGGCTTGAAGTGAGCATGATTGCAACAAGAGCAGCAGTTGGTTAATGGCTCAGTAGCTGCTGGTCCTAGTCTCCAGGAGCTTTTTTCTTCAGATTGGAATTGGCCAGTCAAGGCTTAGCATTCAGGAATATGGTGGCAGCCCAGTCCTTGGCTTTGAGCTGGGGTGGAAGGGGGGCTCACACCTGTCACCCTACCTACTCAGGAAGAGGCTGAGATCTGAGGATCGCAGTGCAAAGCCAGCCTAGAGAGGAAAGTCTGTGAGACTCTCCTCTCCAATGAGCCACCAGAAAACCAGAAGTGGTACTATGGCTCAAGTGGTAGAGCTCGGGCCTTGAGCTGAAGAGCTCAGAGATGGCACCCGGGCCCAGGGTTCAAGCCTCACGACTGACAAAAAAAGAAAAGAAAGCAATGCAATAAGTAGGAAATGGATTCGACATTAGAGTCCAGGAAGTGTTGTGTTTTGCCCTTTTTCTATGACATGGTGGGGTTGGAACAGTCACCCGCCCGGAAGCTGGAAGAGACAATGACTGGGTGAGGCTCTTTCCCTGGGGGAGATGATAGAGCCCAGGAAATGACTCCACATCCCTTCTCCAGAGAGGGCCTGTCAATCCACGGTGCTTCCATTTACAGGGCTCCCACCCCCAATCCAGGATGTACTGGAGAGACAGCCTCCCTCCTTCTGGGGTTTGGTTGCTGAAGGCTACCAGAATCCATGGGAGGCATTCTCTTTCTAGAAAAATCCCTCAGCTCCAGCTGCCCACCCCCCAGGTCCTCTCTCTTTGACCTCTCTGTATACCCAAAGGTGGGGTAACTCCAGCTCCAGTTGGATCTGTTGTTGGACTTGGAGCTTCCTGGCAGCCAGAATGAAAAGAACCACCCCACAGCGATAACCCTTCACTTCCAAGAGGGGGGGGAAGAAGCTATTGATCACTCAGGAAAAGCATATCCAGAGATCTTGTAAAGCAGCTAGCAACCATCTTCTGCACCGTGTATGTATCGGAATGCCTTGAGTGCTTATTAAACTCTGAAGTTCTAATGCACTCCCAGAGCTACAGCTTCCAGCTAGCTCAGCCAAGAGAAAGTAGCTTCCAGATCCGATCACTTTTACTGCTCGGGGGGAATCGTGGGCTGTTAAAGGTTGCACCCTTCTGACTTGAGCAACTGAATAGAGGCTCCTTTCTTGTCTCTTGGGCCAATAATGCTGTGTCTACTTTGTAAAACAAACAGAGACATTCTTCGGCTCTCCTCTGGTGTGGTACCTAGCAGGAAGCCAGCAAAAGAACATGTCCAGGCCCCCCCACCCCGGGCCAGTGGGTCTGTCCTCACCAGCTAGTAACTTCTCAGAAATGCGGTGTTGAAAGTCAGCATCAGAGGCTAAAGTTAGCAACTCTGACCGGCAGCGGCGGGCAGGGGAAGGGGGTCAGCGTGCAGCTGTTCGGGCAGTTGAGCTCTGAGTCGAGACAGTGGATGGCAGAGACTCCTTGACAGGAGTGGCCAAAAAAAAAAAAAAGAGAGTCCAGCCTTAAATAATTGAATTCTCTGCCAGCCCCTGTGCGCCGTGGTCATCTCCACATGTAATGGTGTCGATAAATCAAGAGGCTAAAATCAGTGCCGTGTAGAAACACACCTTGGCCGTCTAAAAAGTGGAGGGTTTCGCACTAGGGTCTGGACAAAACTGGAAGCGGCATGTGCTTGGTGGGGTCCGAAGCAGCTGTCTAATTCACAAATCCCGCATGCGTTTCGAAGAGGCGTTGGGAATTTGAAGGTGACTTTTATTTTCCCCCCATGGTTCTTGGACTTGGGGTGTGGTTTCAGTGGAGTCGGCTCTTGTGGCTCTGAATGCACCGTTTTGTTGTCGGGATATAAAGATCAGAAAGGGCGGGGAGGCGTGACTTTGAGCCTTCAATCTCAGGACCAAAGATCAATGGGAACCACGCACAGGTGAACCAAAGGAATTGTAGACTGAGGTCCGGCTCTGAGACCTCTGAGGTCCTTTGAGGAAATGACGGGACTTCTTTTTCGTCACCACCTAGCCCTACACGGTAGGGACTGGTGCCTCAGTTTCCCACCTGAAGGAAACAAGAATTCAGAGAAGTGAAACAACTTGTTTAACCTAGCACAGCAGAGTAATCTCACCTGCTGGACTCTGAGGCTGGGGTGGGGGTGGAATTTATCCGCTCCTCTGTGACACATCGTAGCCAATCACCTGTTTGTTTGGTCATGGTGGGACTTGAACTCTGGGCCTGAGCGCTGTCCCAGCGTTCTTCAGCCCAAGGCAAGCACTCTACCACTTGAGCCACAGCGCCTCTTCCGGTTTTTTGGTGGTTCATTGGAGATAAGAGTCTCATGGACTTTCCGGCCTGGGTTGGCGTTGAACCGCCATCCTTAGATCTCAGCCTCCGGAGTAGCTCGGATGACAGGCGTGAGCCACCTGCGCCCGGCCGCCTGTGTATTTTTAAACACAACAGAAAGCTTTCAGATATTGGCCTGTGTGTCTCCCTCCCATCATTCCTGGCTCAGATTAGTTATGCCTTTACTGGTCTCTCATTAGCAGGCTGCCTGTTGAGGTACCACAGTGGAAAGTTCCAAATATCTTGGGGGGAAAAAGAATCAAAAACACAAAGGCAGGTAAAAATGCAACGCGTGAGGGAATGGGACCAGGAGCGGAGCGCTGTGGTTGGGAATGGACCTGTCTTCTGACCTATGCTGGGGGCGCAACGCTGCCCCCCACGAACTACAAAGTCACGCGCGAACCCCCGACATGTGACTGCCACGAACCCCCATGTTCCCTCTTGTGGGCCTGGAGACAATCTTGTCTTCACCAAGCTGGAATGTCCTGAAGGATCGTCCTGTGCAGAGCCTGCCTGATTCATGTACTGCCTGATAGTCATGCGGTACTGTTTACAAATGACCCCCTTTCCAAAGCAAGCGGGGAGAAGGTACGCAGGCTGAATACATTCTTAGATGATTATTTTCCCCCCACCCTGTACCAGGCGCTGCCCACATGCGAACCCACTCAGTTTTGAGCTAGCAGTGGCAGCCGAAAATCACGTGAGTTTTCATTTCTCCATTATTCTTCTTTAAAATTAAAGAAATGACACAGAAATGAATCAAATTAAAAAAAAAATAATCCCATGAGATCCTATGCTTTGTCCTTGGGCCAAATGATTCCTGCCAAGATCATGAACTCCTCTGTCAGATCCTATCACTGGAGAGTCCCTCCTTCGGTGTCTCCCACACCTCTCTCTCTCTCTCTTTCTCTCCCCCTCTTCCCTGAGAACTAAATTAATGAACAGTAGTTGGTTAGTCATGTTAGGCAAGCGGATCCCCAAAATAGCACCTTTCCATTCCGCTAACTTCCACCGCTCAGCAGCAGCTGCCGTGTCCCCTTCTTGTGTCTGTGAAGAAAAACTTTCCCATTAAGACTTGCTGATACAGACTTTTCTTTCTCCCCCCCCCCACGGCCGCCTGCCCTCCCTCCTTTCCTCCTCCCTCCCTCCCTCCCCGCTGGCGATCCCTGGGCTACTCCTGTCAGATTGGACATGGCTCTGGATCTCGTGGCTGAGAAGACGTTGGGTCTGTAGAGTTTCCTGTTTGTCTTCCTCCCCTCAGTCTCTGCCGACGTGGGGTACCTCAGAACTTCAGTCATGCTGGCGTCCCAAGGAGTCTTCCTCCATTCCTACGGCGTCCCCATGGTCCTACCCGCCGCCCCCTATTTCCCTGCACTCATTCAGGTAAATGTCGCTGCCTGGGCCAGCCAGAAACTGAACTCCAGAGCGCTCAGAGCCATAATTGGAATTTTTATGGTTGAGAAAGCAAACACTTTTAATACAGGGAGGGAGGAAAGAAGGAAAGAAAGAAAAGTGGGGGAGCTCTCATGTAGTCAGCAAGAAGACAGTAGGAAATCAAAAAGATGGATCACCCGAATCTGACTATTGACATCTCTCATGGCTGAATAAATGGTGTAGTTGAGCTATATTTGCTTGTATCGATCGGGATACTGTTTAACACTCAAGCCTTTGCTTCGGGAGGTTGACCATGGGGCAAAAGATTTGCTCTCCTCCCTGGCTTTCTGAAGGGACTCAATCTTCCCAGGAAGATCACTAGGCCAAGGAGCTTAGCGTGAGACGGCTCGGGTAAAAGCTTGAACCCAGGACGCAGAGACAGCCGGAAATAGCTAGACATTTATTTCTAGAACATGTTCTCTGGACTTTCCAGATACAGCAGAATTTCTCCTTCCCCTGCCCAGGGCTGAATTAGAGCCATTGCCAGATGGGAAAGAATAGCCACTGATGGATTCTGTAGGAAGTCCAGAGATTATTCTAGAAATCCCATGGTAGCTGTTTGTTGGCTGGCTGGCTGGTTGGTTTATTTTCAACGCTAGCAAGAGAGTAGAGGGCTGAGCTGTGTGTTGTTGTGTTTTTATTGTTGTATTTTGTTTTGTTTTTGCTTTTAATTCTGTGCAGGGAGATTCATATGCCAATGAGAAATAGATTTTTTTATTTTTTTACTTGTCGATCAAGAGCACTGGATGTCTGAATATTCTTACAAGGTTCTCTGAAAAGCTAAGATTCATTCGTGATACACTCCAGCCATTGTGGGAAAGAACCATTGGCTTCTTGTTGTGGTTGTTTGTGGAGATCAAAAATTCATAAATTTGGTATCTCCCTCCCTTATTCTTGATCATTAATGAAAACTGTAGAGGAGGATTCATTCTGGTCAAATACCTCTGCTTTAAAAAAAATTTTTTTTTGGATGTGGCTGTTACTGTTACCATTTATTAACTAGAAGAATCTGGGTGATTGCACTCTCCAACGGATGCTTCTAGACAACAAAATACCTTCCTGACTGTCCAGCTGTTGCTGGGCTCATGTGTTGTCAATAACTCCGTCGCCCGAAGGAATGCGCTGTGGGGTTTGCTCCTGCTCTTTCCCCTGACCTGTGAGACAAGCTGGTGATCCGTGAAGGTGTCCAGCCTTGTGTTTCTATAGGAAATTTGGGGGTGAAGGTCCGGCGGGTGGAATTTTGTCGGACCCTGAAGCTGACCTGCCCGATAAATAATTACAAGCAAATCTCGCCCTTCACTCTATGCTGATTGATGCCGAAATTGCTTTTGAAAGTTCTCATAAGTTCCTGTTATAGATTAAGTGCCCGTGCAGGAAAAATAACGGCACCCACAGAAATGGGTGAATGTAATCAGGTTTAATGGACTCGAGACCTTGTTGGGAATTAAATAACTATCGATCGGCTGGGATGGTGCTGTCATTACGAAATGCCACTCTGGATGTTTTACCCCAGTGATAGATGAGAAGAGGCCAGGGCCAGCTGAGAAATTGGGGAGGCCTTGCTTAGCAGAGCGTTTGAGAAAAGTATCCAGTTACTGATGGGCAGAACAAGTGATTTTTTTAATTCACCAATCTGCCCCTGCTCTGTGTTGCCCGAGTCAGGAGAGTGGCATCATTGGCAGTCTTCTGGGTTAGCTCTTGGGAAATGCTTGATTTTTCTCCCTTTCCTATGTGGTAGAACATTCTAGAAGGCCAGATACGTGGGGATGCTAGCGCTTGGTTTACTCTTTGCATCAAGAAATGGAAGTCACTGTGGTCACATTTGCAAATGGAGGAGGAGTAACACAAATTTAGAGAAAACTAGATCAGTCTCTCCCTCCCTCCCTCCCTCCCTCCCTCCCTCCCTCCCTCCTTTTCTCTCTCTCTCTCTCTCTCTCTGTCTGTCTGTCTCTCTCTCAAACACACACACACACACACACACACACACACTCAGCTTTCAAATGGCCACTCTTGAGGCCACACGTTCCCCCTTTGATCATATTGCATGCATGTATCTCCTCCCAACTCAGGATGTAAGGAACTAACTCCCATTACACCTCAGCTCCAGGAGCAATGCAATGAGAGGTTGCCCAATGAAGGCTGTGGCCCATCATTCGGAGGGCCTCTCCTGCGCCTGCAGATGACACTGGAACTGCGTGGAGACGCCATCCAAGGTCTTTCCGACATCCACGTCCAGCAGCCCCAGGGCCACAGAACTCCCTTTTCACAGTGCTCTACACAATCACCTTTAAGGATTCAAACCAACAGGGCCCGACTGTAGTCTGGTCACAGTTTCGAGGAAAACCAGCTTACCCCCACTTTGTTGTTTTGCCAAATTTCCCTAGAGCGGATGGAGGTGTTTTCCTCTTCCAGGATATTTATTTCACACAGGATCGATGTTTCTAGCAGATTCTATAGCTACCACGGACACCTCTCCCTCTCCCCCCGCCCCTGAGCCCCCCGCACTGTACACATACACTTCCATAGTCCAGGAAAGTAAGAGTCTACCATATTGGATCCTTGGAACCTCTGGTTAATTTTAGAGTTAAATGAACTTTCTTATGTCTGAACTTGTTGAATCGATCACCAAATAGCTGGGTATGTTTTTCTGTTTGTTGTTGTTGTTTTAAAGCCATGTATAACACTGTGGAAAGGATATCGAGCGTTCAGTTAGAGTTCAGGCTGTTTCATGGTAACATGAAACCAGAAAGTAGAGGCGGGGAGAAAGGTCTCTCCAAGTGTGTTGTACACACATCACCTTTTCCCCATCTGAAGATGAGCGCTCCTGTACTCCATGGAACGTTGATCTCTACATTTCTGGTGGTAACTTGGATGGCCCGGTAGGCGGCCATCTTGCTCACAGAGGAGCTGGTCCGTTTGCTCAAATCATCGCTGAGTTCTAAGCCTGCCCTCCGGAGTTGCCTAAACCCTGTGCCATGTTTGGAGATGGTTTCTGACTGTTGGGCGCTGGTTAGGGTGGGTTGTCTGGTGAGCCCTGTGCTGAGATGTGAGTTTGGACCCATACCCCTGAAACCAGTTTTCCCTAACAGCTCCATCATCCTTCCTGCCGTCCGTGTCATGGGCAGGCCTCACAGAAGATGCTGGGGTCAGGAGATTCACTTCCTGGGTTAAAAAGGACGTGAACAAAGCCCATCTCCACCCCAGCTGGCACTGATCTCAGTCCACCACACACCCGCTCTGTGCCAGCCGCCATGACGGGCAGTTGAAAACCAAGAATGAATGGTCACAGCCATGCGCTTGTGGGTTCGCAGCCCGGTGGGAGCCATGACTCCCATTTGGTAACAGGCAGCAGGAAGGACTCCAGGTTGGAAAACATGGAGGGTGCGTTGCGAGCTTGGTGCTGCACTAAACGTGTAGACACCGTCTCCCGATTTATTGTGACCCGAATCCTCATGGATTTGGGGTGGCTCTGGCCTGCCATCCCTTGTGTGTAATTCCATAGTCCAAAAAGCTCTCGGAAATCGATGAAGGGTTGGCGCCCTGCTTCAATCGGGAACAATGCTTGACCTGAAATGATAGGTAGCTATTTATAGACACACACACACATATATATGTATATATATATATATATGTATATATATATATATACACACACACACACATACATACATCTGTTAGTATGAATATTCATCTCTCTTGCAGGAGAAATATGTATGTGTTTGACTTCAGCGTTTTGCCCCAGACTGGACTGAGGGTTTTATTTAATCGGTATTTTCACTGAAAATAGCTTCCAAGGGGGAAAAAAGAAATCCAAACAAATGCGAGTGAAAACATCCAGGTGATTCCAGAGGGCCCAGGGTAAAGGGTCATTGGCTCCCATGGTGCGAAAGGGAGAATGTAAAATGTGGGGTCCTAGGAAACGACCTGTGATAGAGCTGAGATCAGAGGCGGATTTGCCGGAATCCGGCCTTCCCGCTTCCTTCCCCCCCCCCACACTTCCTCCTGAGGTTGGCAAAGGTACGCATGTTTGCCTCTGGAAACCTATGGCAGGGAACAGCCAGATTGGTTCCAACAGAGGAGGCAGGATTGCAGCGGCGCTCAGAAACATCAGGACAGATTCGGTGGTCGAGAAAGGAGGAAGGCCTCCCACAGAGGCCCGAGGGCTGGGGAGAATTCCTGGTGTTGGCTGGAGGTGCAGAAGTGGCACTTTCTTCTCTCCGAGCTTACTGGGACTCTGGGGGTGTGTAGGAACAGGGGACCCACAAAGGGAAAAGCTGTGGGTTAAAGGGAGCTGCAGCTCAGCCACCCGAATCTCTGTGGCCCCATGGGGCATTGAACCCTCTAATACCCGCCTTTGGACTCCTGCAGGTAAACGCTCAGCATCTTAGATTCGGTCTTTATCCCAAAACCTTTGCCTTTTTTGCTACTGCTTTGGGACAGTCATTTCTCTGAGGGGCTCCTGTCTTCCAACTTAAACTCATAAACCTATTAATCCTAGGCCTGGTGACTTAGGTTTATAATCCCAGGGACTGGAGATCGGATGGACAAACGTGTGATGCCAGTCAGGATGGGACATTAGCAAAACTGCCACTGCAACCAGTAAGATGGGTGTGATTTCTCCTTCCTGTAATCTCAGCTACAGGAGAGGGTAGATAAGAGGATCAATGTCCAAGCCCAACCCTTGGCAAAGAAACCCCAGTCCAAAAAATAACCAAAGCTAAAACAGGCTGTAGGAGTGAGGGCCGGTTTGGTAGATAGAGTTCCCTGCCTTCCAACTTCAACCCACATACTACCAAGAAATAAACAGAAACAAAGACGCAATTCACGCCTCTCTACTGTGGAGAGCGGTGGATCTTAACAACCCCTGCACTCTGAATTTCAAAGCAGACATCGGCACTGTCGGATTTGGCCACATATATTATGTGTATGTGTGTATGAGAGAGAGAGAC